TGAAAAACAACAGAGTATGAAAGAATAAACCAAGCCATCATTATATTTTTCATTACAACTACAGCAGAAGGCTGAAGAACAATATTTATACAAGCTCTAAGAATATAACTGATTAAGTCAGTTATAGCACTAAGAGAAAATGCAGAAAACTGAACATAACTGCCTAGGAATACAACTGACTATAGAGAATAAAAATGCACACGTCCAACACTTAATTCTAACAGTAATCCATAATAGACAGAGAACATATCAAACGCAACACGATAACATTGAGATGGCGTACCCGACAAGTTGTAGTTTAAGCTTTTGGCCTCCTTCTTTGCACAAAAAAAAAGGGAAAAAAAAAAGGGAGCATCGAAATTCATATTGATTATCACTCACTAGTCAATGTAATAAGTAATAACCATGCAGTGATGCTGACTTGCTACTAAACAAGGCAAGTGCGTGCTATGTTGTGATGATTTATTTCTTTATTTCAGTTTATTATATATGATCCCGTTCGCCGCCAGCTATATGACTAATATGATTATTAATTTCTTTATTATGGCTTAAACTGTACTTAACCCAGAAGAATAATTTCTATTAAAACTTAAAAGTTGCCTGTGATGGGGCTCGATAGGACCTGCAAATGACAAGCTTTTGGATAATAAATATTGTTTCTTCAGTATTTTATTTTGCTTTAAAACCAAATTGCATTAGCCATAATCAAAGTACACGCTATAAAAGAATTGTTATATTTCAGCGAAAAATCCTATAATAATATTTTCTATCGAAAATTACAAAGTATATTTCAGTGGTATAGTTTTCGTTGAAATGTGTTTCCATTAGAAATTTAAATGGAACTGATGATTCTAACGGTATTTTTCTCGAACGGTTTTTTACCGTTGGAATATGCAATTTCTATTGGAATTTTTATTTTCACCATGTTGAAGAATCTATCGTTGGAATTGTCAAATTCCAATGAAAATTCCAATGAAAAATTCATTCCAACAGAATATTTTTGTTGGAATTTTCATTGGAATTCATTGAAAAGTTCCAATGGAAATAATATCATTTGAATATCCGTTGAAATTGTCGTCAGAATTCTATTGGATTAATATATTTCTGTTGCAATTTTTTATTAGAATTTTATCATTTTCTTGTAGTGATATAGTATATATAACCAGTCTTATTGAACCAAGTAACTCATAAACTCAACTCGAATTGTCTCCTTAAAGCTCGTTAGACAGTTACTTGGTACGAACTCGATTTGTTAATGATTGAGAATATTTTCTACATAACTTTTTATATATAACCCAGCTCGTTAATATTGATAAACGAATTGAGCTTGAACTTGAATATCATCTCAATAATCAATTGCTCTAGCGCCTGAATTCGAGAGCTAGAATATCAGATGCTTGCGTAAGTCTCGGTTCATTTATAATCTACCTATGTATACAAGTCCAAAATATAATGTACCATATACAAATCTTATCCTCCCTATATATAATTCCAGAATGCGTTGAGCCTACGTGACTTCTTCTGGTGCTTCGGAATCCTATTTGGCGAAGAATCATGCTTTGTAATTAGGTTTGGACAAATAATATTAATATATTAATAATTAATAATCTAGGTTCGGGTATTCTATAAATATTATTTAGCTAACTTATATATTTTAATATCACTTTTACTAATATAACCCTTTAATTATTTGTAATTTTACATAGT